ATGGGAGTGAATATTCAGGAACAGATCCTCAGGCATCTACTTGAGGCCCAGTTCTTAGCTATGGGCTCTTTTGACCTCTTTTTTCTAATTAATAATAATGACATAATAATAATATTATTAGTGTGTGTGTGATGTGGTGGGGTGCCATGATGCACATACTGAGCTCAGAGGACAGCTCTGGAGAGTCTGTCCCTGTCTTCTCTACCTTGATGTGAGTTCCAGGGGTCCAACTCAAGTTGTCAGGCTTGCAGCAGCAGCAGCAATACCGTTACCTGCTGAGCCATCTTGCTGGCTCTGATGTGCTCTATTTTTAAGTAGAGTTATATTCCCTTGGGTCCCAGCAGAGATGAATCATGGTAAACAGGATATAACTTCTCTTAGTTAAGATGGACAATGGCTCAGTACCCAAAGTGCTCCCAGTGTTAGGCTCAGTCCCTACACTTTCTGGAAAGAGGAACATGCTAATGCAAGCAAACCAGACACAGAAATAAAGGAAAACTCCAATATATTAAATGCCACTAACAACTAGAATGGCAGGCCAAATAATACAAAGCAAAGACGGGACTGTATAGACGGCTCAGTATGCAATGGAACTTGCTGCCAAGCTTGACAACCTGAGTTCAAGTCCCCAGACCCACAAGGCAGAATTCCCTCAAGCTGTCCTCTGCCCACCGTGTATGTACATATGCACACACATAAATAAAAATGATGTAAATTGTTTAAAACATTGAAATGACAAAATTACCTAAGAGTAAAAGGAAAAGAAAAGGTCACAAAACATGAGAAAATTTAAAGCAAGAACTGGGACTATCAGCTCATTGTTTGCGGCTGCCTAGCATGTGCAAAGCCCTGGATTCAAATCCTAGGAGGAGAGAAAGAGTGAAAAGGAAATGAGACAGGGGTAGAAACAAAGTCAGTAATACAAATTAAACAAAAAAGGAAGACAAAGAGAAAAATGTGAAGCAAAATACATGCACCAAACAATTACCAAAATAGTCCTAATAAAAAGGAAAGTATTATCTTTCCTGAAATGGTCCCCTGCGTGTGTGAAGGGCAGACAGCCACGACTATTTCAGTCAGCTCTTAGTCCCATGTCTTGTTTCCACGTCTCTCTCTGAGAGAGCAAAGGCCGAGGTCAGGCACTGTGAGGCCAACTAGGGGTAAGAGCAACACACTGTCTGCACTGAGGAGCTGGGGATGGCAGGCCAGCAATCCACCACTGCCTTCAGCTACCATCTAATCGGGTGCATCTTCTTGGTTCTTCCAGCTCCTAAGCTAGCAGCGGTACTTCCACTGTTAAAGGGGAAGTCAGTTCCGCAACCTTTTCTTGTTGCCCACCAAGGACCTCTGGCACAGAATTACAGTATGACAGTCTCCTCTGTGGACAAACTGGTTTTCAAAGCTATTCACTGAAAGCATATTCATGTTTGTAGAAGGTTTCAACAGAGAAGGGGACAGTAAAACACAGGGGCTTGTTTCCCAAAGCCACAAGCTCCAACATACCCTTCTGCCTTCTCAAGAGCACCACCTTCCTCACAACATCACCATCAATGTGCACTGGGAGACGCAGGAAGCTTCTCTACCAGCAGCCTGTTTGTGGATTCCTGAAAAGCGGTATTGAGATTGCCCTTCTGCGCCATGCTAATTCCATGTTAGTTGTACTTCCTAGGTATCTGCCTTTTCTGGAACCTCTTCCATCTGCTCTGCTGCTACAGTCCCTCTCTCTCTGCTCCAATCTGCGGAGTCTGGGTTTCTTCACATCTCTTCCTATCCACTCTTGAACTTCTCACATTCGCAGGCTCGTCTCCTTGAGAAGCTACTCCCTAGGTGTTTTAATTCCAACTTATGAATAAGTGGCTGCCTCTAATTGTTACTTTGACCCTCCCCATAGAATACCGCTGATAAATATGTGACTCCATCATTCACCACTACACAAGTAGAAGCAGCAGTTAACGTCACTTATCTCATGGGTTTATTGGTCATCACTTGGATGGCTTAGGGGGAGTAAAATTTCATCTGTGTTTCAGCTCTTCCATGGTTGTGACAAATAATTGGAATGACTTAAAAGGAGGGAAGATTTATTTTGGCTCATGATCTTAGAGGTTTCAATCCATGGTCACTTGGCTCTGTAATTCCCGGGCCATCATAACACAAAACATCATGGTGGGAAGCACACGGCAGGCAGGACAGAGCTACTCACCTCATCAGAGCCAGAAGGAAGCAGAGAGAAAGAGAAGAAAGCTTTCAGGGGGAAATGCTCTTTCCACCAAGCCTGACACCCTGAGTTCAATTCCTAGGACCAATAAGGTGAGAGAATCAACTCCTGCAAGTTTTTGTCTGATTTCCACATCCTACACACATACACATGCATACAAATAAATAACAAATAAATATTTTAAGAGAAAGAAGACACAGCTAGGATTATAGTTTCTATAGCATAAGCCTCATACCCATTTCATCACTAGGCCCCACCTTCCAATATACTATTATAAATCCACAAATCTATTAATTATATCTGAGTGCTTAGGATTCAATCACTTCCCAAAAGCCTATCAACTGACAACAAAGCCAGGAGGCTTTGGGACTTCTCAAATTCAAACCATAATGATCACTCAATCATGGTTTTTTCTTACTATTTTTGGTGACCTGTACAGAAAGTACACAACAACGTCATGAACTTCATGACAATATTTGGGTTAAGTGATAAACACAAACTGAAATTATAGGCCAGCAAGATGGCTCAGTGGATAAAGGTACTTTCTGTGTAAGACTAACAACCTGAGCTCCATCTCTGGGAGCTATCTGTGATAGCAAGATAGAACCAGCTCCTGTAAGTTCCCTCTGACCTCCACACATATATTCACATGCATGTGTGTACAGCACAAGTGTGTGCGCGCGCGCGCACGCACACACACACACACACACACACACACACACACACACTAAATAAATGTAAATAACAAAACCAGAAGTTAGCCAGGGGAGCCAGGCACAGTGGCACACACCTGTAGTCTGAGCACTTGGGAGATAAAGAAAGGAGGATTAGGAGTGTAAGGCCTCCTTCTACTACATACTGAGTTCAAAGCCAGCCTTAGCTTCAAAAAAGACACGGTAAAAATTACCTAGAGGAAAATGAAACTGAGATGTGGAAATGACATTACAAGCAAATGGGAAAAGGTATATTTAAAACATGGCATATGAAAAGACCTGGAAATCTGAGGGTGACATTATCAAGGGTCTCCCTCACATATGGAGAAACTGTTATAAAAGAATTCTGCTAGTGATTCAAGGCAATAAGTAATCTTCATTAATCGTCATTGCTAACTCCTCTCCATGTCTCTCCAAGACAAGTGTCACATGTCTAGTTCTAACTAGATCCTGACCCATTAAGAAAACAGTCTCTGATTGTTAGTTGGCTCTTCATAGCCCTCCCCCCGACCCCCACGCAATCAGAAGTCTAAATTCTCTTTCCACACACTCTGAGCAGAGTCTTAAAGGAAACTGCATGGCTCTCCACCTCTGGAGTTTATACCAGCACAGTCTGTCCTTGAGTGTGGGTATAACCCAATATGACTGGTCTGCCAACTGACTATGGCAAAGTAAAGGGATTCTGAAGATGTAATTTAGGCCCCAAATCACTTTGTTCTGAGTTAATCAAAAGGGAGCTGTGAGAAGCCTCTAGCTAACCAGCAGCCACAAAAAACCTAGGGCCCTCAATCACCCAAGCGGAAGGAAATGAATCCTATTAGTGTGAATGTGACTGTGAAGGAAGGCTCTTTCTCCTAACAAAACTATGGAACGCACACTGTCTTCCCTTTTGTATAGGGTGCAGGGGAGGGAACCTGAACAAAGCACTAGCTACACTCTTAGACGTCTCACCCTAAGACACTGCTCTCCAGACCACAAGCTGGGCTTTCTTTTGAATAATTTTAGCACTAGATTTTTATCTTTCTGAGAGCATCACTTTAGTTCCCTATGGTCTCTTTCCTCCCTTTGTTTAGCAAAGCTGTCCTCATTTAAGATTACTCCTCACTGGCCATCTCTACCTCTACATTTCAGGTGAACTGAAGGCCAACTCATCTGATCCCAGAGATCATATCCTCTGCCACAATCACCAAGGTCACAGCACGAGGACTATAGCAAGTGGATGATGCTCTTTGTAACACAGTGAGTGCCTCTGTATTACTCTATACTGGCCAAATGTTCAGTTATGTTTAATGACTTAAAAGTGAGAGAGCTGAGGGACAGTTCAACCAGTCAAAGAACTTGCTGCCAAGCCTTGCAGCATGAGTTCAATCCTCAGGACCCACAGGTTGGAAAGAAACTGTCTCTCCCAAGATGTCCTCTGACTTCCACATGCATCACGGTACAATCATGCCAACACACATACACACAAATAAATAGTGTAATTAAAAATAAAAATAAAAGTGAAAGGAGAGACTTATAGTACGTTGAAATGCATAGAAACTTAAGAAATTATCTTGTCCTAATTCTTTCATTTTTCTACTGCCTACCTAAGCAATCAATAGTGTTTTCCTTCTGGTTTGAAAAGTAATATACAGTTTATTTCCTCTTACATAATAAGAAAATAAAAAAGAAAGAAATTTACCCATTTTTAAGTAGCAAAGTTAAAAATGATACCAACTTTAGGATTAACCCTTTCTGCTACATCATGATTATGTAATAATATACTATTATCACAAGACTATATTCTAGTAAACATCTTAGAGTTGCACAAATAAATGGAAATAAACCATATTTATTAAAAAAAACTATCAAGTAAAGAAAATTAAAATTTAGGAATTCCCTTTTAAGGATCAGCCCCATGAAGGATGATTTCAGAATTACTTATCAGAGAAAGGGGTGGAGAACACATGAAACTTACTTGGTCTATTAATACACTATGGCTACTTTAATAACCCACAGAATACACAAAGGCTTCTGAAGTGTGCAGTACAGTCTCTATTTCTAAGTGAAACATGCAAATGAAACCCATTTACCTTAGAGATTCAGATAATGGTGTTAAAGTGCCATCTCCCCTATCTACTACACGAAAGAAATTCAATTGATCTCCTTCTCGGTATACCAAAAATGTAACTTGTTTGTTGCAAGAGGTCTTTTCCCAGACCTCGTCCCGACTGGAATCCATGTACTCAGCAAGCTCCCTAAGTGGGTCTTCCACAAGAACTACAAATGGAAAGATTGATAAACAGGCTTTCAATTCATATCAACATTTTTTCATCTTGTTACAGTAACAGGATATATATGCTGAATTTATACAACCATACTGTACATTCGATAAATAACACTCTCCAAACAGGCTTCTGATATTTTTTATTCTATACAGCATCCCTTATTAATTTTTTGAGAATTTAATGAGTATTGTATTTTCATCATTTTCCCCCTCCTTCCTCCAATTCTTCCTATGTCTCTCCCGTATCTTCTCAAATTCATGGCTTGTTTTGTATTAAAAATGCATCATTATGTTACATGCCCAAAGACATGGCTTAACTTAAAACATGAGGTCATGTATTTCTGTACCAGTACAGTTGATAGACTATATACAGATTATATACTATAAGTCTATAGTATTATCTATCATTGTTTTAGCTACCCTTTAGCTTCCTGTGCTTTTCTATACTGGTTCCAACAACTAGTCACTTAAATGTATTATAAATCCCACTTACTTTAGATTAGAAAATAAACATATGCACACATACACAATTGGGAGACATATTCAAGAAATTAGAGGCAAGAGGGAACTAGAGACAAAATTTGATGGTAGAGTGATAACCACCATGCCCAAGGTCCTAGGTTCAGTCTGCAGCAGCCAAAGAAAACAACAAAATAAAGCAAAGAGAAAGAAAGAAGTAAACCTTTTTCTCCCTTCAGGTTTATATAAGCTCAGACTCTTTTGACAGCTGCTCCTTGAAGTAGTGCACAAGCACAGCAATAGGAAGTCATTTTAGTGTGCTAAAACTGCACTGTACGAAAGATCGATATGTGTTTCTTGAAAGGCTCCTCTCATGATCCAGGGGTCCTGGTCAGGTGTGTGTGTGTATGTCTAATCAGGGCATGAGACTCCCTGAGTCCTGCCTACTGGAGTCACTCTGACACTCATCTGAACTGTAGGCCACTGGGACCCAGTTGTCCTCCATTTTCAAAGTCACCTAACTTTCTTTTACTTAGTAAGGAAGTTGGAATGCTGCAATGCCTTAGGAAGGGAATACAGGGAATGCAGCTGAACAGCTGAGCTTGAGCCTAGCAGGCACAAGGCTCAAGGTTCAACTGCCAGCACAGGAAAGAAAAATAAAATAAAAAGAAATACCAAGAGAAAAATATTAAATTCTGAAAGTAATGAGGTAAAAGTATCAAAGATGCTCCATAGTCTAAATTTAATACCACTACTTCTGAAACATAACATTTTCATTTGCTCTTTCTACTTTCAATCCTCCTGCCTCAGACTCCTACATGGCTGGGATATAGGCAAACACCACAGTATCCAGAACTATTTTCAAAACTTAAAAGTCCCACTTTCCATATTGCAGCACTAAGAAGCAAATATTACCACGGCGACAAAAAGCCTTTCCTAAACCCACGTCTTAAGCCGGGCGGTGCTAAGGCTGTCTAATTGTGCATGCCTCTTCATAACTCAACATTGGTTATGATTTTGTCACCTAAAAGCAATACAATTTAGGATGTAAGTTTGGAAAGGGAAGATTGCTTTCTTGTGCTATTTATTTTAAGGCAAAGCCTTAACATTCTATGACTTAAGCTGGCCTGTAACTTGCCATCTTCTCGCCTTAGCTTCATGAGTACAGATTACACATGTATACCATTAATGCCTGCTTCCCCACTTTGTTTAGATAATGGTTATTTTAAAAGCTAAATATTATTGTAATTCATATGATAAAGACCCTTTCCAAATGATGAGTCTGAGAGACTGAGCTTTAAAGATGCAATAGTACATATTATCAAGTTCCTAAAATAGGATGAACAAACCATTAAATACTATATAACTCTAACTTGATATAATGGCTCAGTAAACAGAGTTCTTGAACTATCCTCACCAGTATAAATTTTACGAATGTGACATACAATCATTTCCTTTTAAAATTTTATTTATTTATTTATATGTCTGCATGGTGTATCTGCACATGCATTTGGGGGCGTGGATGTTAAATCCCCCAGAGACGGAGTGATAGGACTTATGGGATGCTGGGCTGGTTACACGAGTACTGAGATCTGAACTCTAGTCCTCATGACTGTGAAGCAAGCAGTCTCAACTGCTGAGCCATCTCTGCAACCCATAAAACCACTTCAGAAATCAGTTAACAGAGAATTTCTGATGTCAGAGCGCTGCTCAGTCAGCTTTAACATCATTTCCTTTGTTTTCTCTAATGCAAAATAGTTTAGCAGTTCTCACAAATTGCTCTTAAGGTAGATAAGAAAAAAACATTTTAATAATCCAATTTTAACAAAAATTATAAAGCACGGGGATGTAATTTGGCATGAGGGAATCTATACTCAATTTCCAGTTTTCTATTGTGGAGGTGCAAACAAGTGTGAAGGCCTTCTTAAAATGAGGGCCACAGAGCAGGACTACTCTGAGCAAGGCTGTCATGGGGGAGCTGCCTGTGACAGACCTGACTAGTAAACATGCTCCTGGCTCTTCCCTGGATTAAAACCTTGTGGTAGCTTGAATAGGAATGGCCCCCAGAAGCTTATATATTTGAATTTTTGGTCATTAGGGAGTGGCATTACTTGACAAGGATTAAGAAGTATGGCCTTGTTGAAGGAAGTGTGTCATTAGGGGTGGGCTTTGAGGTTTCAAAAGCTCATGCCAAGCTCAGGGTCTCTCTCTCTTCCTACTGCCCTGCAGATCTGGATGTAGAATTCTCACAGCTACCATGTATGCCTATGTGAGATAATGGACTAAACCTCTGAAACTGTAAGCCAGCCCCAATGAAATGCTTTCTTTTATAAGAGTTGCAGTGGTCATGGTGACTCTTCACAGTAATGGCACTAAGACAAACCTTTTTACTAATTAAGTCTCAGTTCATGCCATCTTTCTCACAGACCTTCCCTACGATGCTATTTCCATAGTTGTTATCACATTCTCCTGTCTATTTCCCACGTAGAGCTCACAAACACTTGAAATCCCATCAATCTCTCACACATTTATTGGAGGCAGAGTTATGAAGCAGAGGCGCTGTCTCCCTTGTTTACTGCACTCGGGACATTCACTCAAAGTCAACAGATGGAGCTGGAGAAACAGCTCCACAGTCAGAGCACATCCTCCTGTTGCAGAGGACCCCAGTTCAGTTCCCACCACCCACTCTGGGCAGCTCATAACCACCCTGAAACTCCAGTTCCAGGGAATCCAATGCCTTTTTCTGGCCTCTGCAGGGACCTGCACTCGTGTGTACATACCCACACAGAAGCACACATATAAATACATCATTAAAGGTAAAATAAAATATATTTTAGAATCCAGCAGATGCTCACTATGCATTTGTTGAATGAATGAATGGATTCCAGAGACCACTCACATTTGGAGAAAGGATTCAACAGGACTATGAAATTCAGTTTTATCCCAGGTAAAAAGACAATTCAGTTATATCCTATAGCAAATAATTATCCCAGGAATTTAAAACTCAAGCAGAGTTTAAAAAGCAACAAGACTGACATAAATCTAAACACAATGCTAATGTGGTATTTATATTATCATTACATTTCTTCTTCCTTTACTACTAAGTTTTATTTTTAAATATCCCTGGATTAAATCATGTGGGGTTTATTCTGGGGTTATATTTTGGAGTTCCAGTGTTTATATATCTAGGTTTTAAAAAATAATGCCTAAAAGAATCAAAGACCTAATGCAGAAAAGGCACTTGGCTAAAATGAGAGCCTTTAAAAAACATTAACCCCCTTGAAGAATAGAACTACTAAATTACTTAATGATGATTGTTAGATGCTTTAATGTATGCCTACCTTTTCTAGTACTTATCGGTCCACCACGCATAGCCAATACCAGCTTCAAGGTACAACCTTCTGAAATGCTGTGAACAGTTAGCACAAAAATAAACCATAATCACCAAATAACAATCAGTGTCAAAAGAACCACTAATTATGTGATTTATTAGCCTTACTATATATTCCCTAAAATATGAAGAAAGACAAAGCAATATGAATAAATATATTATTTGCCTGTATACATTACAGAAAGTTTATAAGTTCTCATAAGCCTTTTAAAAAAGGAGGCCTAGCCAGGTGGTGATGGCACACACCTTTGATCCCAACACTCTGGAGTCAGAGACAGGCAAATCTCTGTGAGTTCCAGGCCAGCCTGGTCTATAGAACAAGTTCCAGGACAGCCAGAGCGTCACAGAGAATTCCTGTCTCAAAAAATACAAAAAGGGAGCCCACGAAAGAAAAGAAACTTAGTCAAAACCCAAAGAATTAGGAAACAGAAAATTCATTCAAAATAAAAATAAGACTGCAAATCCACCAGCTCTGCCGACTCCTGGTGTTCTTCCACCTCTCGGCCTCCTAATTCCTTTGTCTTCAGTGTAAGAAATGACATGAGAGGAAAGAAAAAGGTAAAATGCCAGACAGCACATTTGTAACCACTGATGTACACAGTACTACTTCTTAAAAGAAAAAACCGACCTAATGAACAAAGTCTCAGCAGAGAGAACTCTCTCATGCCCAAAACTTGTAAAAATGGGAAGAAAAGAAACATGACCAGGAGAGAATGGGTCAACATTGAAAGAAAAAGGCAAAGAAAACAAGAAGTTATTATAACCACGCAAGAAGGCAAGGACAAAAAGCTCAGCATGTAGTTCACTGAAGGTGAACTACAAATATCAGAGAACAAAGACCAAGAACAAAGATGGTACTGAGCCAACTCATCTAGAGGTCAAAATTCAGAATGAAAGCTGGGATCAAGCTGTTCAGGACAGACATGAGGAAAAACACTGGCATGTGGAGTTATAATACTGCGTGCCTATAAAGCTGCTAATATGTAATTACACTCACTTGTAATCATTCAAGCAATAATCATCTTCAAGCTCCATGTTATTCCAAATTAAGTGCTGCTGACAGATGGGAATACCTTAAGGAAAGGTGATAATAAAAAGTGTTTAAAATTTTAACACCATCTCTAAAGAGCATGACACAATGCTGTTTCATTAAAGAACTAAGAATACTTATGAATTAAACACATTTCTGATCTAAGGCCTCTGGCCCAACAGCTGTCTTCTTCAATGTATGACTGGCACCACTATTATTTATCCTGTGGCCAAGAAAGACAGTTTCAAGTGTCTTTTGTAATCATCATCATGTTTATCTTTAAAAACTTTCCTTTGCCCAAATTTCTTTAAATACTCATGGTATTTCCATTGAAATACTCATGGTATTTCCATTGAAATGCTGATCTGTTCACAAAGATTCTTAGAAGAATCTCTAATTACTATTTAGGTTACCAGAATGTAGTATATCTGGGTATTCACATATATAATATATGAGACAGAAACTGAAAGAATCAGCTCAGGATGCCAGAGGGGAAAAAAAGCACCATAGGCTGGGTGGCCTAAACAATGGAAATATGTATCTCATCGTTCTTGAGACTGGGAGCCCATGGATTCAAGGTTCCAAGTAGATACATTCTAAAGCCACTTTTCTTGGCATGTAAGTAATTACCAGTCCACTGTAGACACACATGGCCTTTTCTTTCTATGAGAACATGGAGAAAGAAGTTTCATGTCTCTTCTTACAAAGATACTATCATGAGAACTGCACCTCATGTATCCCAAATTTATACACTAAAGGCCCCAATCTATAAGTTCCATCACATTGGGGATTAAGGCCTTAACCAAAGAATTATAGGAGAAGCTGGACATGGGAACACACGTAATCCCAGTAATCAGATGACTAAGGCAGCAAGACAGTGACTTTGAGGCTGCCCTGGGCTATATAAGATATGCCAGGTCTCTGGGCTGACTATAGAGTGAACCGCTCTCATAAAAAGACAGGTTGTAGGGACATGAACATTCAGTCACAATGACGTGTATTTATATATTACAGCTTAAATATGATTCTTATGAGGTTTTCTTAAATAATTTCAGGCAGGTATATGTTTAAGACATTCAAATTTGCATTGAGAATGATGAAAGTAAAATCAAAAGAATCTCTAGCTAATTGAGGACAGAAACCATACAGTTATCTTAATAGACACAGAGAAGGTCAACAACTCTTCGTAATACAAGCCTGAGGAAAGCAGGAGCAGAAGGAACATACCACATCATAATAAAGGTATATACAACACATAACCAACATGACACTAAATGGGGAAAAACTCAAAATCATTGCTTCTAAAATCAGGAATAAGACAGAGTGCTCATTCTTGCTGTTCCTATTCAATATATTGCTCAAAGTCTTTGCTACAGTAATAAGGCGAGAAAGAAACAAAGAAAGGGAGAAGCCAAAGTATCTATCTCTATTTGTATATGACACAATCTTATACTTAAAAGACCTTAATGACTCCACCAGAAAATTCATATCGAAGAAATACTCTCAGCAAAGTAGCAGTTTACAAAATCAAGATACAGAAATCAGCAACCTTTCTATATATTAATAACAAACTTGCTAAGAAAGAAATCAGGGAGAGAAATCCTATTTATAATAGCTCCCAAAAAATAAAAATAAAATATACCTAACCAAGGAAGTGAAAGATCTCTGCAATGAAAACTTGAAGACAATTAAGAAAACTGAAGACAAGAGAAGATGGAATGACCTCCTCCCCATCTCATGGGTTGGCAGAATCAATATTATGAAACTGGCTATACTGTCAAAAACAGCCTACAGATTCAGTAAAATTCCCATTAAATTTCTGATATTCTTCATAGAAATGGAAAAACAATCCTAAACTTTATATGGAATCACAAAAGACCCCAAATAGCCAAAGCAACCTTGAGCAAATATTAAGGTATTACAATACCTGATTTCAAATTATAGCACAAAGCCGTAATGATACTATTATAAGAAAAACAGGATGGCACTGACATAAAAACCAGATATTTAGGAGCCAGCGAGATGGCTTAGCGAGTAGAGGATCACATGCTGAGACTGCTGGCCTGAGTTCAGTCCCCCACGACCCTCCTGGTGAGAAGAGAGAGCCAAATGAAAGGGGAGGAAGTGACTTTGAGAGAGGAGGGAGACCGAGAGAGAGAGAAAGAGTAGTGGACACACATGACATGAAAGAGAAGGGACTATTGGAGGGAGGCAAGGTGACTGGAAAGAGGATGGGACAGGGCAGTAGGGCAGGGGAATGAACAGGAGCAAAGGGAAGTTCCCTGTATGTATGAAAATGCCATATGAAATTCACTACTTTGTATGCTAACTTAAGAAAGCAAGAAAATAAAAACATTAAAGAGTCTAATTGTTATTTAATAGGAATTAACAGGATAATTACACTGTACTTTGAAACTATGAAAATAATTTAGTTAATGAATGCTAGTTTATTAAAAAGAAAGAAAAATCCTGAGTTAGATAGGGAAGCTAGTACCAATCCTTAGGTTAATATAAAACTTCCTTATTACATTTTTATTGATTGTGTGTGTGCACACACACCAGCCCACATGTGGAGGGCACAGGGTAACTTTCTGGGGTTGCTTCTCTCCTTTTATCATGTAGGTTCCAGGGATCAAACCCAGATCAGCAGACTTGACAGCAGGTGTCTTTAACTGTTGAGCCATGTCACTAGCCATAAGCTTGATATAAAACTACTACCAGAAACCCAAAGGCTACTCACTCTATGTGTGAACAGTCCAAAAAGGATTCAGATAGTTAGTTACATCATACTTGGACCAGAGAAGTGATGATAAGAAAAAGACTTAAAAGCCATGTAATTTGAAGATGCTTCTGCAGAAGTCAGAAAAGAACAGACAAAGAGTAGCTTGTGAAGCAGTGGCTACCTACCTGTTTGAGTCTGGTGAGAAAGACTACCCACACACTCTTAACTGAAAAACACCCATTACTTCATAGGCACCTGTTGTGGATGATTGATTGATAAATAAAACACTGATTGGCCAGTAGCCAGGCAGGAAGTATAGGCGGAGCAAGCAGAGAGGAGAATTGAGAGAACAGGAAGGCAGAGAGAGACACTGCCAGCTGCTGCCAGGACAAGGAAGATGTAAGGTACCGGTAAGCCACGAGCCACATGGCAAAGTATAGATTAATAGAAATGGGTTAATTTAAGATAGAAAAACTAGATAACAAGAAGCCTGCTGCGGCCATACAGTTTGTAAGCAATATAAGTGTCTGTGTTTACTCGGTTGGGTCTGAGCAGCTACGGGACTGGTGGGTGAGAGAGATTTGTCCTGACCATGGGCCAGGCAGGACCAGGAAAACTCTAGCTACAGGCACCAAGAAGCAGCTGCCTGAGTTCCATTGCCAGCCAGAGCCCCCAAAGATCAGGAAGACATTCTGTACCCAACCTGAACTGCAGAGAGGGCCCCCCCAAAAAACCAACTTGTTCAGGACCATATGACATGGTAGGCTCAAGCACTGAAGGACATTGTTTCTAGGGGAGAAAGGGAACAAAGCCCAGAGACTACTTTCAGTAGCCACACATCTCAGGATGTCACATTCCAGCACATTCAATAGTTAGTCTTCAGAACCACACGTTAGGAAGGGCAAGAGCTGAGGGAAGTTAATCCAAGCCTACCTCAAGAACTCAACTGCACCTTTTTTTAAAAGTAATTCCAGTAGTCAAAGGGGAAAAGAAGGGGTGGAAACTTAGGAGTGGCATTTTGTATCTTCAAATACACTTGATAGTTTTTACCTCCCACCATAGTGTGGTCTTATGGTTATCTTTTGCCTTGTGTTTATTTTTATAGGTAAAATTTCCATGGTTGATATGTATAGAATTGTATTTCTCATGTTATTGTGATTGTTTGATGATATATTGTTTTAGTATAGAGATGTCCAAATATTAAATACATGTCTTACTAATAAAATAAATTTCAATCTCAAAATGAAAAGACCAAAGGAAGTGCATGTGAGTGCCAACATCAGGTACCAGCCAAGGATTTCAAAGTAAACAGAAGAGGGTTTCAAATGCCCTGGAGCTGAGTTATGGGTGTGAGCTGCCTGACATGGATGCTGGCAATAGAACTCAGGTCCTCTCCAAGTGTGATATGTATTCTTTACCTCTGAGTCATGTCTCCAGCCTACCTGCCCATTGCCTTTTTTTAAAGATTCATTTGGGATAAAAGATAGCACACTACACCCATGCATGGACTGTTGAATCCCTGGGGAATAAAAGGGAGACCGTTGGAGAGCAGCCTTCCTGACAGCTAAAACACGCCAGCTTTAGCAAGAAAGAAAGAGGAGGAGGAAATTCTGGGGAACTTCACAGGAAAGAAACTACAACTTGTGATGTGAAGGCCTCGGTCCTGACCAGGGAGTGCTGTCATCCTAGAAAGGAGGGTGTGACAAAGAGGGTTGGAACCTCTGCTCCAGATGACAGCAGGGAGAAAAGGAAGGAGAGGGGGAGGGCGGGGAGGGAAGGAAGGAGAGAGAAGTAGAGAAGGGCAGAAGACAGACTTTAGGGGCTGTACCTCCTAGGGCAGGATGGTTCTAAGGAAATCCTCCTTTCTTCTGGGTACTTGACTGCAGCAGTGGCAGAAGCCATCTACAAAAGATCGCTGCTA